TTACCAGGGCTCCTTATGTTTGTCACTTTTTTGTTTGTTTGTTAAGTGCCATCAAGTTGATTCCGACCCATAGCGACCCTGTATAGGGTTTCCAAGGAGCAGCTGGTGAGCTTGAACCACTGACCCTACAGTTCAAATGACTTTGCAGTCTGACGCATTAGTCCACAGAGCCAGAGAAGAAGAAATCAAGACTATTTGAAACTCACAAGATACCCTTTTAGAAAATTATGATCATGGTTGAATAAACACTGTAAATAGTGATTCACACCATTAACACCATGCTGTTTCTTAAACATGTAAAACATGCGTAATGCTGATTTCTCCCAGTGATTAAAAATGAAGAGCAACACCTTTTAAGCCAGAATGTCCACAGTGCCTATAGTATCCTCTTTAGCCCAAAAGAGTAAAAGAGCCCTATCAGGCCCATAGCAGTCTGTAGGACTGTCACGAGATGGTTATTACTATCAGGGATTGTCTTCCTTTCTTGTCCCTTGAATGGAAACCTAAATTGGTGTTTGGTGTTGTCAAATTCATAAATGCAAACATCTCCCAACCTTCCCAAACTAAATTCTGCACTTTTTAGCGAAAGTTATTACTGAATAAACCTTAGACCTAAAAAGGCGACTCCTTTCTCTTCATTTCAACGTTTCTTTTCTGTGCTTAGAGTTGTCTCCACTTGGTGGGTGTCCAACAACCCGAAGGACAGTGCCGAATTGAATATAAACAAAGAAAATGAAGCTTGCTGGGTCTCCAGAGGGCCAGAGCATCCAGGAGGAGTGATGCTACCCACTGGCCACCTCCCACTAACCTGGTAGCTGCTGCATCCAGGCCTGAGTTGTTCTACCTACATACAGCGTGCTGCTTAACTTCACCTTAGAATTTAGTTCAAGAACATGTCCGAATGGTGCATATGCTTGCTATTTTCAGACGAGACCAAAGAATCTGCCATCACTTACTTTCATTGCTACAGAAGCCTGCCTTACATGGTTTATGGGGAAACTAACTGATCAACCAAAAAGCAAACAAAAAGACATTTCTTAAGAAGTTAGAATTTTTTTTCATGCATAACTGGATTAAAACTTTACATAAAAAATGTGTCATTTGAATAAAACTGCCAATGTTTTAAATTCCCTATGAAAGAAGTACATTCAAATGTTTATTCTGGAGAAGACCTGTCTTAGACCCCAAATAAATATTAAGGAATGATTTCTGGAAATTTTCTATTTTTCTTAGTTTAATTCCTAACTAGCACTTGGAATTCTTAAGTTTTGTTCATGTCATCTTAATTGTAAACATGTTTAATGTGAAATGTGTAAGCACAATGATAACTTTCTAAGTCTTATGTGGACAGGGTTCATGTTTTATGCTCATTTTCACATTCCACAATACCTCCCAAAAAAGATAGTACCTTCTCTATAGGAAATATTCAATAAACATATGCTGATTGACATGTTGTTGTTAGGTACCATCGAGTCCATACCGACTCATAGTGACCTTATGCACAGCAGAACGAAACACTGCCTGGTCCTGGGCCAGCCTCACAATTGTTGCCATGCATGAGCCCATTGATGCTGCCATATTGCTAATCCATCTCACTGGGGGTCTTCCTCTTTTACTCTGACCCTCCATCCTACCTTCCAGAGCGACTGATCCCTCCTGACAATGTGTCTGAAGCATGAGAGACGAAGTCTGGCCATCCTGGCCTCCAAGGAGCACTCTGGCTGTACTTCTTCCAACACAGATCTGTTTGTTCTTTTGGCAGCCTTTCAATATTCTCCACCAACACCATAACGCAAAGGCATCAATTCTTCTACAATCTTCCTTATTCACTGTCCAACTTTCACATGCATATGAGGTTATTGAAAATACCATGGCTTGGGTTAGACATACCTTAGTCCTCAAGTTGACTAGTCCTCAAGTCCTCAAGTGAAGTTTTTGCAATTCTAGATTGACAGAGCTAATATTTTCCTAATGCATTGAAACATATGTAAGATATGTCAAGGCAAAAACTGTATTTGAATCTATTACTAAGAACATCAAGTGTAATGAATATTTATATGAGATACAGAAGAGAAATCCTATAATGTTCAAGGGAAACATAGGATAGTAATAGCAGAGTGAATTGTGGTATGATTCGTCCTGGATTATTCAATAAAATGCCACTTGCATTTGTCAACTTTGTCGGGCATATTGCTATCTGTGACTTTTTTGCTTCCCTGTGCTCAGTTTTACAGGGGTTGATAATGATTGCATAGTCATCTATTTCCTACCAAAGAGCACATAACTCCCTAGGAGAAAATGAAGTACTTTGGGGTACATTAACTCTTCCAGACTAATGTAATGATTTTGAAGTTTAGCTAGCAGCTTGTAGCTTAGTTTAGCAGGCTCAGCGGTCTGCAGACTCAAGTGAAGGAAGCAATCTACAAGTCAACAACAGCCCAGAGAGTTGCAGACCATAACCTGGCAGGTTCAGCTAAATATAGCAGATGTGTTCTAAAGGATCCAGTGTCCTGCCAAACAGCTGAGGCCCACACTGAAGCACTGTATTTGCATATAATACCCACTTCAGCTAAATTTCCTGGCACTCTAGGTTGGTGCTGCTCACCCAGGAGAGAATGAAAAGTAGGAACTTGACCTTGGTTGTATATCTTCTTTTTCCTTGGTTAAAAATGAACATTAGTTAAAAGTGTATACCCTTTAAAAAAGAATGCAACCCCTTGCTTCCCCAAAGACAAGGCTGTTATGAAGTTGGTAATTTAAAACATAGTGGAGGCTAATGCCCTCAGGGAATTTCCAAAGTGTCTTTCATGCATACATGCTTCCCAAGCTGTACATACTACATTATTGCGTAAACTGTGCCATTCACAGCGAGGCGATCAGGAACCGTTCTCGTACAGCCTGGAAGGACGGGACATCCCCACCCTGTAGGTACCGCCATGACCTCCACCAAAACCTATATAAGAATGTTGTTGTTGCTAAGGGCTGTCGAGTCGCTTCCAATTCAATGACCCTATATAGGGTTTCCGAGGAGCACTAGCAGGTTTGAGTTGCCGACCTTGTGGTTCGCAGTCCACTGCTGATCCTAGCACCACATTAGATATGAGCCCTTAAAGGTTAAAGAAAAACTAAGCTGCAAGAAAATAAAATGGAAATTATGACCTTTGAAATAACGAAGGGTAAGAGGAACACACTGAAACTTTTTCTTGGAGGTACATTAGAACTTATATTCTAAGCACTTAGTTTGTGAAGGTTACAGTTTACAGTGGGAGCCCTAACTCCATTTTGAGTCTTGATAGAAATTCAGCCTCCAGTAAGTTCATTCTGACCATAAACTAGCAATGTAAAAAAAAAGCTTTCCCCTCAGGCAGAGTGTGTTTGAAACTAGAATAAGATTCCCCTAGCCAGTCTTAGGAGTCCTGGTGTGGTGCTGTGGGTTAATGCTCTGGACTGCAAGGTCGGCAGTTTAAGCTCACCAGCTGCTCCTTGGAAACTATACAGGGTCACTATGAGTCAGAACTGACTGAATTGCACTTAACAACAACAACAAGCCAGTGCAAGGAGGGGCAGTCTCTCCCTCAGGGATTTGCCTAAAGGAGCCCTTAAAATGGAAATCAGAGTACCAGAACTGCAGGGTTTTGAATCATATCCAGACCAAAGTGGTTGGAGGGCTCCGGACCCAACCCTATAAATGTTTCCAATCCACAATAATGTACAAATCTCAGCCATGGTAAGCCCACCTGTGACAGTGATGAATTTATCTGCTACTAATCATGATTTTTTTTTTTTTATGATTTCCTTTATTCTTCATATTCTAGAATTAGCCACATGGCCAGGAATCCTTTGGACACTATATGACTTTTTGTTAAAGGTCTCCCTTTGATGGTTGTGGTGCTGTAGGTTAATGCGCTGGCCTACAAAGTTGGTTTGAACCGTGAGGTCGGCAGTTCACGTTCACCAGCAGCTCCTCAGAAACCCTATAGGGCTGCTATGGGTCGGAATCAACTCAACAACACTTACCAAAAACAACAAAAGAGTCTCTACAACACACATATTTGAATTGGTTATCTTTTTTACCCCTAGAGCAGAGGTTCCATTTTTCTTTTCCTAGCTAAGGATTTCATAAATTATATAAATTACAGAATACATTCTCATGTATTAGCCTGGGTTTTCCTAAAAGCAGAATCTGAGGAAATAGGTTTATTTGGGATGTCTCCAGGCAGCAGAAGTGAAAGAAGCAAGAGAGAATATTTCAGTATTGTTGTTAAGTGCCACCCAGTTAGTTCTGACTCATAGTGACCCTGTATAGAGTTTCCAAGGAACACTGGTGAGTTTCAACCACCGACTTTGTGTTAGCTGTCCAGTGCTACACCAGGACTCCATGGGTTGTGTTATCAAGGTAGATGCTATGGCATTGGGATCCATATATGTTCCTCAGGGACTGCCTGAGGAACATATAGAACACCTCCCAGAATTGTCCACCTGAAGTGATGTGATAGGGACATTTACCACTTGGCTCCTGTTTTCTATTCATCGATGACTAACCCCTGGGAACCATAACCCTGCATTTCCAAGCTATCCTCTTTATGGACTGAGCCAATTTCCATGGTGTCAGTAAAGTTAGTCTGAGGTGAGTCTGAGTTTGTACAGAATTAATTGTTCACTGCAGCAGAAATCAGACTTGGACTAAGGAAGTGTGACAAGGAGTTATCAAAGGCATCTAATACCCTTTGCTCTTTATATCACTCAAATCTGCTCATGCTCCATGATCAGTCATATCATCACCAAGTCTTCAAAGTGGTAGGTCACAATCTCCACTAAAAACGTAAGACACAAAGATGAATTTAAGAAGATATAGTCTCTTACTGCGGCAACTAGTTCTGAAGCCATAATGAATATTTATCCTCTCACTCCTCCACCCTTTGTCCCTCATCCTCAAGCAGCACTCAGACTAGTCTAGACTGCTTTTCTAGTTAGACCACATCCTGAGGGATCTTAGCCCTTACTTGTCTTGCTTTTGTCATATTATCACCAGACAGGAAACTACAAAGAGGTGCCTTAGCGAATCATCCTAGTTTCAGACACAGACCTCCCTTGCCATTGTGTAGGAAAAAACTTTACCTCCTTACAATTTTCTTGTTGTTGTTAGCGCTGTTGAGTCTATTTTGACCCATGTACAGCAACCCTGTAGAGTGTTTCCAAGGAGCAGCTGGTGGGTTTGAACCACTAACCTTGTGGTTTACAGTCCGGTGCTGATCGGACAGCACCACAACAATTTCCTTCCCAAGAGTAGTAAGTCCTTTCTTTGCTGGTGTACCAGCATGAGGAATACTAAAAGACTAGGTGACAGTTGTGGCTTCCATTTCAGTAGAAAAATAATGATGTCACCCAGTGGAAGCGGTTAGGTTGGATTGGAATCATGGAATATGAAACAATTCACAAATATGGAGGTACACATGATGCAGAACCCCAACATCACAAGATGTCATCCCTAAAGTAACATTGTAACTGCTTCCAGATGATGAAGTCTGGGTGATTTGCCATCTATGTTAATCTCAAGGAGCTCTAGTAAGTGTAGTGGTTACAAATCGGGCTGCTAACCTCAAGGTCAGCAACTCAAAAGTACTAGGTGTTCTGCGGGAGAAAGATGAGGCTTTCTGCTTTTGTAAGATTTACAGCCTCGGAAACCCTGTACAGGGTCGCTATGAGTTGGAACCGACTCCACAGTACGCAACCACC